GAGCCTGATGGCCCCAGGTCTCTCTCCCACACTTCCAGCACGTGTTTTCAGCTGACCACAGACCCTCTCCAGCTGGGCGCCCTCCCTGGTCTTCTATCTGGCTGATCACCTTCCCACTGCCTCCATTAAATCTTCCCTTCTCCTCTTGCAGATTCTGTGGTGATAATCGCCCTCTACCTTGACATTTGGAAGGTGCCCCGAATGCCACTCTCTCCCTCACCCAGTCCTGTCCATTCTACCTTTTCTCAAGCCTCCTCTTCTCCCTCCAGCTCGGCTCAAGGATTTCCTCTCTGCCCCAGTCATCTGTCTCCTCCAGTACATTTTCTATGCAGCCTCTGAGCTGAGAGATCTTCCTGTAATACATAGCTAATTGGGTTGCTTCCTTCTCAAAAACCCTTCAGTAAATCACCATCATTTCAGAGCACTGCCCAAGCTCCCTCCAGTGATACTTAAATGGTTCCCTACTGGGGCCCTCCCAAACACCCAAGCTGGGTCTTTTACTTTCCCCTTTCTCACGTTCACCCTTGATTTATTCTGGACACTGGCTCTGAAATCTCACTGTCAGGGCTCAACTCCTGCCTCCCAGACGTATTGGCTGTGTAACCTTTGACAAGTTACGTCAGCATCTCTGGGCTTCATTTCCTTATCTGTAACATATGATTGCCGTGAGGACAGAGAGGAAGTGTGTAGGGCAGTGTTTACTAAGCAGAGTGCTGCTGCTGCTGCTGCTGCTGCTGCTGTCTGGCCCCTGCTGGTCTCCTCAGTGGGATCACCACAAATACTCTCCTATCTGCAGCTTCCCGGAATTACCAGGCTCTCTTCTGCTGCCTGTTATCTGCCCAAGCTCTTCCTTTTGCCCCACCATTCTACCTCTTGCTCTGCCCCATTGCCTCACCCTCTTTGCCCTTCTGCCCAGCCTCAGCTGTGCACACTGCCCTTACTCTTAACTGCCTTGATGTGAGAGTGGCCCTTTGCTCTGGCTGCCAGCTCAGCCCCCTGTGGGCTACAACAGGTCTGCCTGAGGCTTGCTCTTGCTTAGCATCTACAGTTGGATGCAGATCTTCCTGTGTGACAAAGGACTGCTTTAATTGGCTCTGACATCCCTGGTATTGCAAACACAGTATTTCTTCAGAAATTGTCCTCTTACCTGCCCCTCACTGCTAATAATATTTTGTGGCTTGGTATCCCAGCTGCTGAATTGCTCCCTCCCAATATTTTAGCTGCTTCTCCCAAATGCCCAGCTGACTCCCTCAACGCATCATAAATCTCCGATCTGAATCTCTGCTCTTACAGATCGTACTGGTGCGCTGATCACAACAGCACAGTGTGACCTCTCCAGTGTGATTAATGCCACTTGCGTGTTTGTAACACAGCCTTCAACTGTGCGGATGTCAGGATAAATCATCGTTCAGCACTTGTCAGCTGGCAAAGCCAGGGATCTGAATGTGACCCGTTTATTTTATAGGTGAGCACAACAAAGGCCCCCAAGGTTGGGTGACTTTCTCAAGGTCACAAGTCAACAATTATCCAATGAAAAGGAGATTAATATCCAGATTTTTTCACTTCAATGCTTTTTCTAACTCATCGAAGTTTTTTGGTTCAAAAATTAATAAGAATTGAATTAAAATATACATAACAAAATTTACTGGTTTAACTATTTTAAATGTTAACTTCAGTGGTGTTAATTACATTTGCCTCGTTGTGCAACCACCACAACCATCCATCTCTAGAGCTTTTTTTTAATCTTGAAAAACTGAAACTCTGTACCCTTTAAACACTAACTCCCCATTGCCCCCAGCCCCAGCCCCTAGTCAATACCATCTGCTTTCTGTCTCTAAGGTTATGCTAAGGACCTTGCATGGGTGGAATCATGCAGTGCTTGCTTTTTGTGTGTGGCTCATTTCCCTTGCAGTGTCTTCAAGGCACATTCATGTTTTTAGAATTTCCTTCTTTCTGAAGGCTGAATAATACTCCATCTGTAGTGGTACTTCTTTGAGACCATTTTAGCTTCTCAGAGTGCCTTTCTGCTAAGTAGAGTTAGAATTTAGAACAGCCTTCATCGCATTTCCTGAGTAACCACTAGGGGCAGTAAAAGATGCAGAAATTTTACCATTTTACCTTAGCAAACAAATGCTAAGTAATCTGGCTGCAGTATCCTCTGTGTATCTCTTTCAACTGTCCATGTACACAGTTACAAGATAATGGATTTCACACCCACAAGCAACTTTGGATAAAACTAGAGATAATCATCGACTGTAGCCCAAGCGCAAATCTTCCTCACACTTGCTAACATCAATGCACAGAGCTGCATTCAAGATGTTGATTTAAGATTGTATTTTTTATTCACTTCACATTAGTTCAGTAATTTTCAGACAGAGTGCACATCACAATCACTTGTGGTGCTTTTTCTAAAATACAGAGGTCCAGGTCTTAGCCAAGATTTACTAAATTCAGAATTGTTCGGGCTATTTTGATGCTGGTCCATGACTTCTAAGAACCGGTGCATTAGTTCTTTACTGTGATGACCTGGGGATGTTTCTTACTTCCAAGGTGGCCATGCTCAGCTGCCACATAACAATACTGTCTGAGATATGAGAGCCCTTCCTATGATAACCAGGAAAAGAGAACTTCTATCTTATCAAAGGTAAAAATGGCACAGAGAACTGAGGTGGGACCCTAATTCACCCCCTCCCCAGCCAGTTATGGAATAGAGGCAAATCAGGTCACTTGTCTAAGCCTCAGCTTTACCTTTGAATTACAAAAGGACGTGATGGTGTTGATCTCCACAGATCAGTTCTAAAAATTCAATGATTCTATTAGTATTAATAATCTTGATTTGTAGTTACTACCCTGGCAAAGTGCAGAAGAAATATTCAGTAATGGAGTGAATGACAGAAACTATTGGCCATGAGGTTTAATTTATTTAAGGCACATACACTGAATTCAAAGGAGAAAATATTGTTCCTGATGATGTATTGAACTGTTAGCATCTTCGGCATAGCAAAAGCTTTCTAGAGGGAAAAATTACCCATCAGTGCAAACTTGACATTTTTCACTTCCTGATCCATAACTGCCATTTGTCCAGCACTCTCATATTTACTATAAAGAGCCATGTGTATGAATGCTTTGGCTGAATATTAAATAACTACATAAATATCAAGGTCACAGTTGCAAGAGAGGCTTGGTGGGAGGCCCTGGGAGGCTTGCATTGATCTCTTGTGAAGTTCCATTCTCGGATCCTGCTGACAAGGGGAAACAATTGATGTGGACCATTATTAAGGCTTTAAGTGTTTCGCCATTGTTAAAGATCTTTTACAAGCCCGGAATAACTGATAGTGCCCAAGGAATTGGCAGAAGCTTCACTTAGAAATATGGGCTGCTCAAAGAGATAAGTACAGCCCAGAGTGCAGATGTTTGGGGTAGGGTTTATGCAGCAAAGGTGCAGGCGAAGGGGAGCCTGCCACTGGGGCACATCTCCAGCAGTCACAGTTCAGAACTCCACACCGGAAGTTGCCAAGAACATGGCTTCCTCTCCCTCTCTGTCTCTTCCTTCTGGTTTCCTGTGGGTCCTCCTCGGTGAAAACCTGACCTTTCTAGTCCATCCATTCTCCACAGGCACACAGGGCATCCCACAGTGTCTGCCTGTCTCGTCCTGTTTTCTTTGACAGCATTGAATACCTGAGACTGGGTGATTTATAGACATTTATTTCCTAGGGTTCCAGAAGCTGGCGGGTCCAGTATCAAAGTGGTGGCATCTACTGAGGGCCTTCTTGCTTCATCCTAACATAGTAGAAAGCATCATGTGGCAAGATAGAGCCAAAGTATACCAACTTGGTTCTCCCTTCCTCTTCTTTTAAAGCCATCAATGACCTCATCTAATTAATTCCCTCCTTTAAGCCCCACCTCCAAACACCATAGATACAGGAATTTGGAGATTAAGTTTCCAATGCACGGCAGGGCCGGGGTGGGGGCACTGGAGAAATTAGGTGTACATGAATTATGTACAACCACAGGTCAAGATCTGGACTGGTCAAGTGCCTGTAATTAATTTTGGGAGTGTCCTGCTGACCTGGGGAAAAGAGCAGGTATTGTAGATGACAGGCTTTAGTTTCAAAAAGATGTCAAGAGACTGAAGGATTGTCCAAGTTACTAGATGAGCCTAATAATGAATGTAAATGATAACACCCACATTTCCTGTGAACTAGCTAAATTTTTGGTATCGTTTGGCCCTCCACATGTTTGAGTTTATCAACAGTTTATGAAACATGTTTCATGTTTATCAGCTTTACAATAGTCAAGTGAGGGGAGGACTTTATATTTTTATATTAGAACAAAACCTGGTAGTATGGAGAATGTTACAAGTGCTGTAAGGTCATCATCCATCTAAATTTCAAGCCCAGTTCTGCCTCTCAGTTGGCTGGCAAATGACTTCAGCAGTAAGATAGCAGTAGCTAGGCTTCAGGTTGTTTTGCACATGTCAGTTCTGTGTGCCTAGCCTGTTGCATGTATTTTCTCCTTTAGTCAGGTTGCATAGTAAGTTTCAGGACCAGGGTTTGAACCCAGGAAGTCTGACACTAACACTCACTTGTAACAGTGGCTGTACCTTCTGCATCTCCTCCATTGTAAAGAGGGGACACCATGCTTTCTGCGATGGTTAGGTAAGACAACTTATGTAAAGTACCTAGTAAAATACTTAGCACATAGTAGGCACTCACAAATGGTATCAGAGCACCACTGTTATGACTTACATGACTTATTCAAGGGTTTAGCTAATAACTGGAGAAACAAGATTTGAATTCAATTCTTGTGCTGCCAATCCAGTGCACTCTTTGTTTCCCTCTGGAGCACAAACAAGTAATTCTTATGTCAATATCCCAGTACCATCTGTATGGGACAGGGATCTACTCATCCAACAGATGTTTGCCAAGGTCCTGCTGTGTTGGGGAACCTCAGAGGAAAAGGGTATCATGCTATTCATTCTTTTCCCCCTGTGTTCCCAGGTTCAAATGGTGAAAGATGGCGACCCCTCCTGGAAGCCCACTTTTATTGTGAAACCTGATGGTGGTTGTCAGGGTGACGGTATCTACCTCATTAAAGATCCCAGTGATATCCGGTTGGCTGGGACCCTCCAGAGCAGGCCCGCAGTGGTCCAGGAGTACATCTGCAAACCTCTCCTCATCGACAAGCTTAAGTTTGATATTCGTCTGTACGTCTTGCTCAAGTCCTTAGACCCCTTAGAGATTTACATAGCCAAAGATGGACTTTCTAGATTTTGTACTGAGCCATATCAGGAGCCCAATTCCCGAAATCTACACCATGTCTTCATGCACTTAACCAACTATTCCCTGAATGTCCACAGCAGCAACTTCATCCATTCGGACAATGCTAGCACAGGCAGCAAAAGGACTTTTTCCAGCATACTTTGTAGGCTGTCTTCCAAAGGAGTTGACATCAAGAAAGTCTGGTCTGATATCATCTCTTTGGTGATTAAGACCGTCATTGCCCTGACTCCAGAGCTGAAAGTGTTCTACCAGTCGGACATCCCCACAGGGAGGCCGGGACCCACCTGCTTCCAGGTAACCATTGCTAGCTCCCACTGGAGTCCCCAGCCTTGACCAGGCCTACAGAGGGCCCTCTGGCCTTATACGGGATGACAGGTGGGGGTGGGGTGGCAAAAGGTGGGGACAGGTGGTGCCTGGGGTGGGCTTTGGTGTTAAAAACCCGGGCCCAACTTTCATCTTTCTATTTATTAACTGTGTGATTGGGAGCAAGTTACTCCCCTGCTGTTATCTGTAAAGTGAGACTAAAAACACCTGTCTAAAGAGATTCTTTTAAATGTTTAGTGAGATAGCATATGTAAAACAGAATGCCATCCACTTATCCAACAATTTTTACCTCCTGCTTTCGAGGGGTCAGGCACTGTCCTAGATACTAGTGAGACCATAGGTCAGGTCCCTCTGGCTGATGCACAGTGGCAGATAAATCCTTTAAACATCAACGATTTCAGAGTGTGACAAGTGCTCGGGTGAAACAGGAAGTGCAGTGGGTGCTATGAGATGGTGGGACTATCTGACCTTCTGTGGGTGGCAGTGGAGCAGGCAGGGAAGCCTTCCTGGAAGAAGGGGCAGTTAAACTGGAGCCTGAAATGAGAGGTGGCACAGACGAGACTTGACAGGGCCAGGGTGGCAGGTGCTGCGGGCGTAGGCAAGGTTCAGCCCCGGAGGTCTCAAGCAGTCATGGTCTGTTTGAGGCAGTGAGAGGGGTTTGTGGCAGTTGGAAGGTGAAGTTGGAGGCAGAGGGGTGTAGAGAGAGGTTCAGGGAGGTGAGGCGGGGGAGGTAAGTAGGACCAAACGGTTAAAAGCCCGAGGGCACCGGTGATCACCAGAGGGTTTCTAGCAGGGGACAGACTGCGTTAAGATTTGTATGTTCTAAAGAACCAAGCACCTGTAGGGAGGAGAATGGATTGCTGGGCACACAGTGATATCTAGGGAGACGATGGCTTTCACTCAGGCAAGAGAGGATGCTGGCTTTGAATAAGAAGGTCTAGCAGAAATTGGGGGAATGGAAAGATCTGAGTGCCTCTTGACAAGGAAGAATGGCTGGACTCAGGGACTGGATGGGACTGGGGGAGAGAGAGGTAAAAGTGGTGTGGAGGAAAGGAGGAAATGAGACTGACGTGTGGGTGGCTTGGACACTTGAATGGATACATAGAGGCCACTGGAAGTGGCCCAGGGTTGTGGGGGAAGGTTGGGATTTGGACTTGAAGTGTCTACTTGGCACCCATGGAGAGGTAGAGTGGACAATTGGATATTTGGCTGGAGTTCAAGAGAGCAGTCTGGGCTGGAGAGGGAGGCGGGAACTCAGGTTGTGAGTGAAGATGTGAGAACCTGTAGGGTGGGAAGAAGCTGGAGTAGACCACTATTTAATTAAAGTACAGAGGAGGGGGAACAGCAGAGGAGCCACAAAATGGTGCGTGAGATGCACCAGGGGAGCTGAGGAGAGTGCCGAAGCACCAAGGAGGTCTTCCAGGAGGGTTCAGGCAGGGCCAGCTACGTTGAATGCTGCCAAAATACTGAGCAAGACCCATTCTGAAACTATCCACGGTGACCACTAACAACTTACTGGGAACGTCAGCAACAACTGTCTTCGGCAGAGAGGGAGGGAAGGGAAGGGAATGAAGAATGAAGGGAGAACATCCTCCAGGTCAAGCACATCAGGGTGGACAGGCAGGGGCCATGGAGGCCAGGACCCAGTAGACGCATGCTCTCTGTCACCAGAGAAATCAGAACAGGGAAGAGAAGACAAGAAGGGCAACTCTAAGACCCTCTTCACCTGTTCTTTAACGTTGTTTTATAGCATTTGATAGACATAGATATGGGAGGGATAATGGAGCCTACGTGAAGCCATAAAGCAGAACAAGATGTCACCCCTGACCCATGTCCCTATCCACGGCCTCCAGTTTGTTTCCCTCCATCCCACTGTCCTACACCCCCCCATGTAAGAAGTACCCTAAATTTTATGTTACCATTTTCTTACTTCTCAAAAATAGTCTCATCATGTATAAATATGCGCCCAAATGATGTATGGCCTTGTTTTGCTAGGTTTGGAGCTTTCTAAAAATGCTGTTAGGGAAGTATGTCATCTGCCACTTTATTTTCTACCTCTTGCAATACTTCAAAGGCTCACCTGTGTGGATGGGGCCGTGGGTGCTCGATGTGCACACCATTGTGCATTCTGTCATAAATACGCATGGTTCATTGATGAGTTCTTCTGCCAGGTGATGTCTGGGTGTTTCCAGCCTAAGGTGGGGTGGTAACAGGCAGCGCGGAGCAGGAAGTAAGGAGAGAGGGTGTGGGGAATGCTTCTCAGGGAGGGGGTGTTCATTCACCAGGAGGTGGAGCTGGTCCTCAAGTGTGGCTCCCAGCCCAGAGAGGTACTACAGGACTGAGTACCACTTGTCAGGCCCTCCTGAAGCCTCTGGAGGAGGATTCAGGCAGTGATCAGGACCAGGAGGGGGTCACTGTCATCCAGAGACCTGTCTGTGGACACCCGAACCCCAGGCTCTAGTTCCCAAGCTGGATGTCCAGCTGGTTTGAGATATTGGAAAGTGTAAGTGAGCAGAACTTAGAGGCAGGGCCAAAAAGAAAAACAAATCTCGACCTGTTCTACCAAAATCAAGGGCAAAGGAAACAGTTGCAACATGGACACGTCCCAGGGTCACCTCAGGGGACTGTGTGGTCGCATCTGTTTGATCGCGACAGCTATTTCAGGATTATCATGTGGGCCCTGGCAGGAATGGCCAAGCCACAGCACCCTGGCACGGTCAGAGTGGCAGAGGGGAGGCCAGGGTGGTGGTTCTGCTGCTCATCTTGCTGTGGACAGGCTGCATGGGCAGCCATCAGTGTGGAACCTGGGACCCACACTGTGGGAACTGGAGGGCAGACAGAAAGGGAGCTGCTGGTTTGAACACACTGTGTCCAGCAGCCGGAACCATAGCCTTGTGACCATTTTCCACTGTTTGACCACACTAAATGCTTCCAATAGGAATGCAGGGCTAGAAGCAGAGTTCTTTCCAGCTGTGTGACCTTGGATGGGTTTCTTTGTCACCTGGCCCTGCTGTTTCTCTCTCAGTAAGCCACCTACACTAACTTTCCTACCCGCCTTTGTAGAAGTAAGACGAAGCAGTATAGGCGAAAACATTTTGATCAGGTACAAAGTTGTTGATGTTGCAATTTGTTTTGCCCTACATTTCAGTTACACAGTGATATTGAGAGAGAACATCTTTCTTTCCTTGGAAACCTACCTCCATTTCCTCTTCTCACTTGTTCGTAGAGTTTCAGATCCCTCGCACTGACTTGAAACACAAAGGCTTAGTGATATGGTATTTTACTATTTAATTTTCTGTATCATCTTGCATAAGTCAGTTAACTTGTCCGTGCACCAGTTTCCTCACCCTCCTCACAGGGTCGCTGTCCAAATAGAATGAGATGAAGATTGCAGAGGGCTTTGCAAACTGTAATGCTCTACACAGATACAATAAATGGTTGTGTAGCACCTTTTCCATGTAGCCTGGGCCTGGCCAGAGGTTGCATTCCAGAACATAAACTTCAGCCAACAAAATTACATTCATCTTAAACATGTGACTGTGACCCTTTTCCAAGTGTAGCCACAATAACTACTTGAGAAACTGCAATGGCCCTCAGCAGTGGCTGGCACATGGGCAGGATTCCTGTAATCTGTTGCCTGGGAGCAGGGCTGCCCTGTCATTCCAGCCTGTGCCCTGTCATTGCCCAGGCAGGGCCAGCAAAACATAGCCTCACACCCATCCTCTTGAGGGCAGCGCTGTGACCAGGGCTTAAACAGCAAGGTTTATCTGAGTGTAGAGGATTCATGTGGCAGAAATACACACACAGAGGAAAGGTTTTAAGCTCAGCTTTCAAGAACATTCTTTCCCCTTCCGTGGCATGGTTTGGATCTTCTTCTTACCTCTGGGTCTAATTCTGTCCTTGGCTGTGACCCTTTTTTCCCTTAGATGTCTGAAGGATATGCCTTCCTATGTCCTAAGATATTCCTCTTATCTTCTCTCTGCTCTTTGTGACCTCATCCCTACCCTGCAGCCCAGACACCCCACCTGGAGGAGGCCAAGTAGTGGAAGAGTGGTCAAGTGCTCTGTTTTGTTCTCAGACTCCCTGGATTTGAGCTATTCCAGCTCCTGTCTTCCAGAAGCTCTAGCTGGTACGTTCTGCAAGTTAACTTTCCTTAGATTTTTGTTTCCTTGACTGCAAATAGAGGGACTATTTGGAGCTACCTCTGAGAACTGTTGTAAGCTCAAATAAAAGAAAGCCATGTGAAACAGATAGCATAATATCTAGCACACAGCCATCACTTAACAAATGATAGTTTTTGTGATTAGCGCATTGTTTATTATAACAACAGTTCTCAAACCTATGAGGTTTGAAGTTACGGGAAATTATGAAATATTCACATTTTAAACTTAACTGGAACACTGGTGTTCCAAGTCCTTAGCCTGGCATCTGTCACCTCCCAGTCTGGCCCAGTCTAATGTCCCTGTTCCCCAGCTGAGCCCTCAGTCCTACAAAACATATCTGATTCCTCTCTCTTGGGTGTCATCAGTGATTTCCCAATCTTGCCCTTTTGTTCTCTTCTGTCCTGGTCAACCTAAATCTTCTTTCTTGTTCTCACTTTTTTTTTTTTTTTTAACATTGTGTCTTCCAAGGTCCTACTCGTGTCCCACCTTCTCTGTAAATCCTTCTTTGACTGTTTCTAATATTTAAGCTTTTGTTTTCCTTTGCACTCTAATGTATTCCCTGGGCCCCCACTAAGACAAGTCCTGAGCAGTTGTGGGACGTGTGGCTGCGGATAAGGCAAGGTTCCCACCCCTAGGGGGAAGATAGACCCATGAGAATTATAGCTCCTTGTAAGCAGTGCTGTCAGGAGCACACCCTGATGCTAGGAGCACACGTGAAAGAGAGAATTGGCTCCTAGCCAATGTCTTCCTAGAGAAGGGGATGCTCAAGTTGAACATCAGGCATGAAGAAGAATTTGCCAAGCAGAAGGTGAGGGACACCATACCCTGCTGGTTTCTTTCCTGCCTCATTGGCAACATCTCAGCCTCTTCCTCTGGACCCTTCAGTGTTCAAGATCTCTGGGGCTCAAATCTCTGGAACTTTGTCTTCTCATCTACCACCGCTCCCTAAATGCTCTCATCTGGCCCCATGGCTTTAAGAACCAGCTAACTACCTCTGAATCCTAGATTTGTATTTCCAATCTTGACCTATCCTTTAGCTCCAGAATGGTATAGCCCATGATCCACTTTGATTTTTCTACTGAGAGAAATAGTGGGCATCATGATAACGCACGCCATGTCCAAAGTCAAACCTTTGACTTCCCTCCCAGACCTACAGTCCACTGTCTTTCCTGCTTTAGTAAACAAACAATATTCAATCCCCTATTCAGAGGGAAAACCTGACTCATACTTATTTTTACTGTTCTCCTCTCCTACTTCCCATCCATAAGCGATGCTTCAAGTATACTTGAAAATCCCTTCCAAATGTAACCAGTTCTAACCAGTTCCATCATTACCGTCACAGTTGTGGTAGCCACTGCCTGTACTTGAACTACTAGGACAACCTCCTAATTGATGTCACTGTTTCTACTCACTCTCTGCTTATAGCTCTTTTTTTCTCATTGTAGCCAAGGAGATCCTTGAAAAATATAAGTTGGGTCAAGTTACTTCCCATGCTCAAAGACCGCAATGGCTTTTTGTTTTTTTTTTTAACTGCACTTCAAATCCCACCTCCTCATCATGGTCCTTAAGATGCTACTGGATTCATCCTTTGTGTTCCTATCTGACTTTGTTTCCTACCATTCTCCTTCCTGCTTTCTCTTTGCCGTCATTTAAGAGCAGCCTTTGTTCTTGTTATTTCTTCTGCCTGGAATTCTCTTCCTCAGGTCTTCAAAAAGGCCTTTTTCTATCACTGCACTGAGTCCCTGTTCATGTGTCACTTCCTGAGATGTTTGCTTCTAGTCATGATGAAATAACCAAGTCTAAAACAAACTGCCCTCTACAAACAATTAAATGACCAGAAATATAATGGTGAATGTGTATATATGAAATAAATATTTAGCTTTTGGGCCAGGAATGATAACTCCGCACCATGGTCCCTGAGAAAGCAGAGTGACCAAGGTTAATCTTATGGTTACCTCACCTTTCTTTCTGGAGGTCATGTTCAGTATGCGGGGCAGTGAAGGGGACTTACACAGCCTAGTAACCTCAGTGAATAGAGGAAACAGAGATCAAAGTTTGGGAAGTCCAAAGTAGCTGGAAATTGTCAGGCACGAATCTGGAAAGAAAGGTGCTAAGTAGGAAAAGAACTCCCAAAATTGGCTCGTGAGGTTCCTGAGTCTTTGGTGATCCTAGGCCAAGTGTGTGTGGAGTGTTAATCAGCAATGCCAGGTAGAATGATCAGGAGACTGATAAGGTGAATGATATCCAAAGCCTGTAAGGGCATGGGAGCGTTCAAGCACTGAACAGCCAGAGTAGAGTGTTGGTATGCTACTGGGAACACCAGTGGAGACTGGAAAGAAGTTCAGCCTCAGTGAGTAAGGATGATCTTGCCTGGTTGTCAATCTTAAACAACTGCATTGAAATGTATCAGATAATTTGCAAATAACTAACAAAGCCCAATATGTTAAAAGTTGGCAAAATCCAGACACTTAGCATTGTAATAGCACAATGTCCATCATTCGATTAAGAAAAATCACTAGGGCTGGGGATTTGGTTCAGTGGTTCCACTGCCTGCCTCACAAGCACAAGGGCCTGAGTTCAATCCCCAGTACCAAAAAAGAAAAGAAAAATCATTAAACATTTCCCAAAGCAGAAAAAGTTAACCTATGTCAATGGGGGGAATTGCTCAATAGATTCCAAATATTAGTAATGATGGAACCAGTAGGAAAAGGATGTTAAAATAGCTATTATAACTATGTACCAAATTTTCAAGGAAATGTTAGCTTGATGAAGAGAGAAGTGGAACCTATTAAAAACAGCTAAGTGGAACTTTTAGAAAAGAAAATGCATTCTCTGAAATGAGACACTCACTGGATGAGATTAACAGGAAACTAGACCCTGAAGAAGAAATCATTAATGAACTTGAAGAAGACATACCAACAGAATCCATACAAAACTAAACAGAGAGAAGAAAATGACAAAGGAGAAAAGAACTATGATAGAATAACAGGGGGTTTAATAAATGTGCACCTGGGGTCCCAAGACAGAGTTGATAAGGGAAGTTCAGAAAAATATTTGAATAAATAATGGCCAAAATTTGATAAAATCTATAAACTCACAATCTATGAAGCTTAAGAAACCTCAAGAAACACATGTACACACAGACACCAAGGCTTATAATACAGTTGTGGAAAACCAATGATAATAAAATCTTAAAGCATTCAGGAGAAAAGACACATTATGTTCAGAAGAATAAACAGTATTCATAATATTCTCAGTAGAAACTATGCAATCCAGAAGACAATGGGATGACAAATGTCACTTCCTTGGAAAGTCCTTCTCTGGATGTCCTATCTAGATCTCCAAATCCTCCCCTCCACCCACTGTATCATACTCCACATTCTTACCTTGCTTTAATTGTTAACTTGCTCGTGGGCTCTCTCGCCTCTGAAGTGTCCATGTCCCGGAAGAGCAGGTACATTATCTTGCACACTGCTGTATCTCCAGCGCCTAAAACACCTGGTATTTAGTGGGTGCTCAGCAAATACCTGATAAATAGTGTAATCCAGGCAAAAGAGCAGAATAGCAGAGAGCAGTAAAGTATCTTACAACCACCAGTGTTTCAGCACCATTACAGATGAAGGTGTGCAACAGTGAGGGAAGGAGGGAAAGCTGGAGTGTGAGACAGATTCCAGGTCACGAAGCAACTTTTAGGACATTCTAGGACATGGACACACTTGTGAAACTTGAGTTTCATTCTGTGGGCAGATATTTTAGGCAGAGGAGTGTTAATATTCTATTGCAGTCTAGAAAAATTATTCTGGCATTCTTTTGGGCCAGGTGTTTAAAAAGATGAGTTTGAGAGCAAGGATAAGCTGAGAAATAAGCACAAGCAATGAGCATGGGCCAGATTTAGAAAGCTCATAGGAGGTAGAGTGTAGAGGAGTTGACGACTGGCTAGGAGTAAAGGGTGAAAAGAGAGGCTTTGACTAGTGTGGTGGATGGATTAGAAATACAGGAAGAAAAGTAAATTTTAGGGGAAAATTGTGTATTTGTTATTTATTAGTATATAACAAATTAGCAGTTTAAGCCAACTTCCGCTATCTCACAGCCTTTGTGGATCAAGAATCTAGGCATAGCAGATAGCCTTTAGCCTTCAGTTTTCCAAAAGGCTGCAACTCACCTGTTGGCCTGGGCTGTAGCCCTCTCAAAGCCGGACTAGGTAAAGGTCCTCCTGGAAATTCACTCACAAGGCTGTTGGCAGGCCTGAGCTCCTCTCTGGAAGTTGGCTGGTGAAATCTCCTTGCCACCTGGGCCTTTCCATAGGGAAGCTCACTGCACAATAGGTGGCTACCTTCAGAGTGAGAGAAAACACCCCAAGATGGAAGCCGCAGTCTTTTTATAACCTAAAATTGGAAATGACAGCCCATCACTTTTTCCCTGTTACATTTGTTAAAAACAAATCAAGTGCAGCCCACACTCAAGTAGGGGTGGGGGAGATTACAAGAAAGCATGAATATCAACTAGGAGATAAGAATCCTTGAGACTATGTTAAGAGGCTGCTTACCATAAAGGGTAAGTTTGAACATGTTTGATTTGAGGAGTCTGAGACCTCCCAGTTGGAAATACTCTGGATGCAGATAGCTATGTAGATCTCAGACCCTAGAGAGAATCTGCTTTTAGTAGAACACAGCTTGGAGTCTTGGCATAAATTTGCAACTGGTGGCTCAGAGACCTTTGTCTCCAACCTGGTTTAAGCCTCTAGAGGTCAGTGGTGAAAGAACAGATATTTTTCAATCCCCCAGGTACCCTCAGGTAAGAGATGCTCAACTCACAATTGCTGGTTGAGTTGTTCAGGAGGCAGCATGAATCACAGAGTATCACATGGTTAAATATAGTCCATTCAGCAATTCTTGCACAGTCACCAACTTTTGGGGAGACTTGGAGAGAGGTCTTCCCCTTTCTAAGATGCAAGTTCCTGGTCAGCCTAAAGCTGGTGTTGGACAAGATTAGTGGTTTTTCAAAACTGTAAAGGTTTACCTCAGGTATACCTCAGTAGGTTAAAATAGTTAAAAGTTGGTCTGATCTGGTTGGCTTCCATCTTGTTTCCCCAGAAAAGAATCCCATTTTGAAAAACCTCGGATGAAGTGAATGCCTAATAATTTTTGCCAGCTCAGATATTCTGATATTTTATGGCAAGATCAACTGGAATCTCCTCCTAGTTCTGCAATTCTGCTAAGATCCATCGTTGCTGAGTATTTCATTTAGCTTTTGAAAGGGAAATACTCTTATTTTCCTGAACTTGTGAAAAATAGAATAAAGCTGACCTTAACACATAGTGGGTTTCAAGCATTTTGTAAAATAATTTTCTTTGCATGATCTTGATTTGATCCCATCTCCCCCAGTAGAGTGTAATCTCCAAGAGAAGAGGGACTTTGTCTAGTTCACTGTGATAGTTCCAGAAGCTAGAATAGTTCTTAGGCCACAGAAATCTTTCAGTAAATATTTTATTAATGAATGGAATTAAGTTTAATGAGTGCTATTCTTATGTCCATTTTACAGTGCAGAAATTGAGTCTAGATTTACTAAGCTGCCTGTAGTCACACAAGTTCAAAGCAGAACTAGAATATGAAGATTCCAAAGCACACTATGCCATTTCTTTTCTTTCCTTTTGCTTCTTTTTCCAATCCTGGGAATTGAACCCAGGGGTACTCTACCACTGAGCTACATCCTCAGACCATTTTATTTTATTTTATTTCTTTAAATTTTGAGAAAGGGTCTCACAGAGTTGCTGCGGTGGGACTTGAACTTGTGGTCTTCCTACTTCACGCTTCTTCAATGCTGTGATTACAGGCATGCATAACCACACCTAATGCCATTTCCTGGTGGGATTCATGGGAAACTGGAAAGGGAGCTGGACTATACTGATTGCCTTCTATATGGTGAGCATAGTCCTAGGTACTATTTTTCACTTCCGTTATTAACAACTCTGCAAGACAGCTATGTTATTCCATTTTTCAGATGAGGCGTAGAGAGGCTGAGCACCTTATCCAAAACCTTCTAGCTAGGGTAAGAGACTGAACTGAGATTGAAGCCCGGGTCTTTCTGACTCCAAAGCATTCCTATGCAAGACCCAACACAATAAAAAGCATGCACCAAAGTTAGGTCAACATGATCCATAAGGTCTTGCCACCCCCTTCCCCAGCTCCCAGCATTTCTGCAGCTTTGCATTCATGAATGCACTGGGTGTAGAACTAAGAGTCCAACAGGCTGAGGAAGTAGAGGTCCACATTTCTAAGATGTGGCACAAAGAAAGAGCCGGTGGTTGAGGGTGATAAACGCGGGCACAGCAGCCTGCTGTCCTGTGAAGCCTCATCAACATCAGACAGGTCTGAAGTTAGACCGATGATGTCACCAGCGCCTCTTAAAGGCCTCATCACTCACATCCGCTTGTCATAGATTATTAAGCAGATCTATAATACATGTAACATTTTCTACTGAATTTCCATTCCTGCCATTTCATGACCAGGAAAGAAAAATAGAGTGAGGACGACTTTTCTCAGCTTCTCATCCTTGTTGCCCTTCATTGAAACATAACTACTTCTTGGATCATCCCCAAAAATGGTCATTCAGGCTTTCATTTCATTAATATAGACGAAGCTTCACTTTAATAATTATCATTTAACTAATGCATATTCTATACAGACAAGTAAATGGATTCCCCTCATCTTTTCTTCTGGAATCCACAGAGGAAGCGGAGTCTACAGCCATATCCTTTTCTCTTTTCTCTATTCTCCACATTATTTTTTAAGACTTTGGGGTTGTATCAGTTATGTTAGGAACACTCCACATTATCACTTCTCTAGAGATAATGGAGCCCTTCTGAGAATCTGAAGGACTTGTAGTCTGAGTTTGAATCTCATTAGGAGCAGTGATCTTGAGGATGAGAAGTTATCCAGGTGAAGGGCTGTTGAAGGCAGACAGAGCCAAGATGCATATGGTGCCTGGACCAATGGTAGGGCTTGGAAGGAATTAGAAGAAACCAGTGTGGCTGGAAGGCCGCATGCTGGATTCGCGAACAGATGTCCAACAGAGAGCCCTGGGGTGAGCCTGGAGCGTGGGCTATCTTCGTGGGTGTGTGGCCCATGGAGGCCTTGCACAGGGCCCCACATTCACAGTGCATTGAGCCTGATTTTATGGCTCTATCACCATCATGCAACTGCTAATGCTCTTCAAGCAAGGAGCCCACCTTGTCCTCCTGTCCTGGGTGGCACATAGTATATAATCTGTTCTGCTTGCATGTGAAAGCCAGCTGTCTAGGCAGTGCAGGGGAAACGCATGGGCCTTTCTGAGACTCAGTTTCTGCTTCTGTGAACCAGAACACATCGTTCCCTCTTTAAAGATACCATCATGAGGATCCGTTGTCATTATGAATCATTAGTGCATTGCAGAGTAATTGGTGCCTAGTAAGTGCCCGGTAAATATCCTCTCTCCTTAACTAAGACAGCATGTCAGAATTATCTGAGGATTTGCTGTTTTCTAAATAAACTTGCCTAGGCTTCCTTCTGAGTGGTGCTGACTCAGTAGGTGTGGGTTAGGGATGTGCTGGTTTTGAAAGGGCTTCTTATACAATACATGTGCGTGCTCTTGGTTAAAAGAGGCAGCCTTGGGCCAGGGATTTAGCTCAGTGGTTCCGATGCCTGCCTCGGAAGCACAAGGACCTGAGTTCGATCCCTGGTACCAAAAAAACAAACAAAACAAAAAAAAGAGGCAGCCTTGGGCCAGGGATTTAGCTCAGTGGTTCCGATGCCTGCCTCGGAAGCACAAGGACCTGAGTTCGATCCCTGGTACCAAAAAAACAAACAAAACAAAAAAAAGAGGCAGCCTTAAGTTTTCAGAGATGTAGCTAAGAAGCAACTTAATAGAAAAGGGCAGAAGAAAAGGCAGAGAGAGAGAAATTGATGGACTACTACTAATCCTTAACATAATAAAAACCCTGTTAAAGAGGAAAGAGGTCATCATTTTATAGCACTTTGGACGACACAGATAGTGCTGAAATGCACCGTGGGAACGTATCCCATTACCAAGGTTTCTATAAAATTCTCTGCTATCCATTTGGTCTGACAAGTACACCCAGAGGGACAAAGGTTATGGACCAGACAAGCCAGGGTCGAGGCCAAGGTTGGGTCTGAGTTTGAATTTATTTTCCCCTTAATGACCCTAATACCATACTTAATTCCTGAAAAGAAATTGTGGCCAGAGGGAGTAATTTGGAATCATGTTTATTGTGCCCAGATTTTAGGCTTTGACATTCTTCTGATGAAAAATCTGAAGCCTATGCTACTTGAAGTGAATGCAAACCCCAGCATGAGAATTGAACATGAACATGAAGTAAGTATTTTTTTTGAGCATCTCATTGACTATATGGCTATAAAACCAAGTGTTTCTACTCTCAAGGTATCTACTTGCCTACACAAAACTCAGCATTATCAAATTTTCACAACAAAGTTCTGTTCAAGTCAAATAATTTGAGTTCTATTGAGCTCTAAACAGAGTCTATTAATATAAGACCTTTCCGACCTATGACAATTTCCCAGCATGCCATTCTTCCCATTTTTAAGGTCTGGAAACTTAGAGGCAGCTGAGCCTTTCCATCAGTTTTGACACGAACTAATTAGTTAGCCTCAGGAGATGAACTAATTGAAATTCTATGAATATGATTTAGCCGTGTCGACATGCTTGAATCACTAAGATAAATAGTACATTTAACAGTGGTTATATTTTTTTCAACCTCCAAATGCATTTAAAAACCTGGAAGGAAATACACCCAATATTAGCATGGGGCTTGAGGGGGGCACAATCTGGAATCTTTTCATTTTCTTTCTTAATACCTTTCTGTATTTCCAGCTTTTCTACAGTGAACATGCAAAATTTGGATAATCCAAAAATATAGTGCTATTTTTATTCCTCTTCAGGCATTTTGTAATTAATAAAAGGAAACTGGCATTCTCAAGGTAGTACTATAAGGAGAGGATTAAAACTTTCTCTTCTATAGATTAGCATGGGCAGAGTATAATAGTATAGTTACCTGACTATTTGGGTCATACTGATAAGCCAAATCACGGTCCTACTGTAACACAAAATCCTTACCCATTCAAGCTTTCTCCAGGCGTGTTTGAAAATGTCCCCAGCCTGGTCGATGAAGAGGTAAAAGTGGCTGTGATCAGAGACACACTGCGCCTCATGGACCCACTGAGGAAGAAGAGAGAGAGCCAGTGAGTATTTATTGTATCATTCATTTCTATTCACTCTGCTGCGTAGATAAGTTAAGTTCTTAGAACCTGTTGACATGTGACATATACCCTATTCCACAATCTCATTTTGCAAGTATCAGCCTCCAAATAACAAGTGACTTAAAATCAGGAGTAATTGGACTGTTTCCCAACTGATTGTTATCCAAATCAGGGAAATCTCTTCCAAGCTCCCACTTTCCCTCAGTGAAAGGCTCTCCACTGGCCCACTACTGTTCACTTGGTACTTCTCTTTGAAATCTTCAAGCATGAGAAGAGTAAAATAAAATACAGAAAAGGTCACGGATAGCTGGACTTGGAGTTTCCTCCTTTTGTTTCTTCACAGTGTAAGCTTTTAATTTCAAATTGTGCAGAACCAGCGTAAGGAACCTCTGACACTTGTATTATACTTATAACAGTTGGAATTCTTCTCCATCCTCAGCTACCAAGTGGCACATTACCAGGGGATATAGGTGGGTGTGTGTTCCTTACCTCTCCCTCTACAGAGTCACCCTAGAAATGAATGACGTTTCACTAGAGCATTTTGTTTGTTCTGTTTTTTTTTGTTTTTGTTTTTGTTTTTTTTTACCAAATTCCAGGCTCTCACAAAGTTAGGGTTGAGTAAATATAAATATGTTTTAGGCAGAAAACCTCAAAGGCAGGCATTTCAAATAGCATTTCTCACCCCCCTGAAGATCGGGCTGATCCCCGTGCTCCCTGACATTTAAGACCTTGTCAGTGATGTTTCATGACTGGATGGGATGCTGACTTCCCTAGAGCAAGTGTTGTTTTGTAGGTTGCTCTACTGAGGCGTCTGACAAACTGGGCTCAAACCTAAATATTGTTAGAGTCACCCTACAGGAATGCTTCTCACCCTTGGCTGCACATTAGGACCATCTGGGGAACTTTCAAACATACAGGGACCTCTATAAAACGGAGTACTACTCAGCCATAAAGAATGAGAAACTAGAGTCATTTATAGTTAAATGGCTGCACACTGAGGCAATACTCTTAAGTGAAATAAATAGGACATACTTGAGTAAATACCGAATAGGTTCTCTGGTGTGAAAAACTAAAAGTGTAAGTATGGATCAAATGGTATAACTGATAGTGTGAAATAGGAAGAAAATGGCTAAAGGTGTAGGGGAAGTGGGAAGGGTAGGGGAAAGGAAATAAGGGGAAAAAAATATGAGAAACCGAAAAAATGGAAACAAAGTCTTTGTAAATAGGGAAGGGTGAAGGGGGTGAAGCATCATGTAAAGGTACCAGATCCCGATGATGAATGTAACTGTGTTGTTTTCCTTAAATGTACCAATAAACTTAATGGGGGAAATTTTTTTTTCAAATAAAATAAAATTTAAAAATCCCAGCACTTCTGCTTCTAAGGGTGTGGATTTTAATTAGCCTGGGCTGGTGGCCTGGCCACAGACATTCTTAGGTTCTCGGGTGATTCCACCCTGGCGCCCAGGCTGAGGACCACTGCCCTGCAGGAAGTGTTTCACGGGTGACACCTGTACAACTGAGTTCTCCCAGGAAGCATCCTTCATCCCATGAGCCACTGGCTGCCGCTGTTGGCGAGTTGCTCACCTGTCATTTGCCGGGGCCAGTCCCGCGGGGCGTGGCTTCCGCCAGTTAGGTCTTCAAAGTGGCAGTGTGTCAGGGCCCCGAAAGTCCTCCGGGCAGCTCAGCTGTCACAGCTACCGGAAGACAGAGCCACCAGGAAGTGCAAACAGCTCCTCTCTCTAGCTAGCCCTTTGGGAAAGCAGTGCTTAGTTGCAATTTGGGTAGATTAATTGCAATAAAACTCCTTCCTCAAAAATCTATTCTCTAACAGTTATTGATCTCACCGGCAGAAATGAGGTCGTAAGACACGGGAGGCTATGGGAGACGATGGCAGTGCGGCCTGGTGCTGTAGTTTATTTTGGGATGACCTGACTCATTGGCATTCTGATTCCTTAGGTGTGAATGAGACGTTCAATGTCTATTGTGTGGTCTGAGCCTTTTTAACATCCACCGCCAAACATGAAGAGGTGCACATTTTCCAGTGTATTTCGCATTGAATGGCATCGAAACAAAATTAGCTTTCTTTTTCTTGTTCTCGTTGTTGTCGCTTACCTTGCACCTGTGTAATGCATTCGAGCTGCAGGTCTGAAATTTAATAGCACCGGGCACCAGGCCATTGATTGGGAAGGATAAAAAAAAAAGGCATTTAAGAACTTATCAAGTCATAAGTAGCAGCATCTCATTTTTAATTTAAAAAGCATTGACTTTTTCTATTGATGACTAAGACCAGTTAGAACTTCAAGGACCTGGCTTCATTTCCAATATAGAATCCCTTTCATCTCACCCTTTTCTTACCTACTGCGTAAGAGAGTATGTTAATAGCTAAATGCCATTTACTGATATTTTTCATAAGTATGGAATTATTGTCTTCATTTTGATAACTTTACCATGCAGAGGAAAAGGCTGAAATTATTCTCAACTCCTTGATACACAGACCTTTCAGAATAACTCAAATTTATGTCCACAGAAAATGCACAGTGCTGTAGTCCTATGAGTCCATTTCTGAGACCGCATCATTCCAATTGCACAGAATGATGTTACACAGATCCCAGCTGGAAGTTACCTTTAGAAGCAGAATTTCTTTTTGGGTGAGGTGGAACAAACTTGTAACCTCAGTACTCAGGAGGCTGAGGCAGGAGGATCGCCATGAGTTCAAGGCCAGCCTGAGCTACATGGTGAGTTCAAAGCCAGCCTGAGCTACAAAGTGAGCAGAATTTCTTGAGATTGCATAGAATCTAACCTAAACCTTTTAAAACAAATGCAGTGCTAGACTTCTTTCGACTCTTTAGCAAAAGAGGGTATGGAGTGGCCCACTTTAGTTCTTTCTTGGGGACTGTTTGTCATTAGGACTGTTGAAGTGGGTCTTCATTTGACCCCACACAAACTGAAAAAAAAAAACCCCGAAAACCCGAAGATATCCTGAGCCCCCTTCAACTCCCAGAGTGCTCTAGAAAAAGCACCAGACATGTGTCCATGTGTCATGTATTTCTGCACACACCTGGGTCTGGTAGCCCAGGTCAGTTTCTTGGTAGGACCACGAGCAGTCCTCAGGCATTCTATGCGGGGAGGAACTCGACCTTGTAGATACCGCTTTGGCATAGTCAAAAGTGCTTTCTTTTGATCTGACACTGAAATCCTGGCCCTGTTGCCAGCTGGTGGGTAAGACACTGGGAATGCTGAATAGCTGTTCTGAGGCTCAGTGTCCTTTTCTATGTAGTGGGATAAGTGCAGTTAAACAGAACAATGAGAAAACCTTGAGAAAACAATGAGGAAACCCATGCAGGCACTTTATAATGCTTACTTTACTGATCAATAGTATCTACTCGACATGAAGCAAACAAAACACAATGCTTAATTGTTATTCCCTTTCCTAGTCTACTTCAAGTAGAATTTTGAACCTAAAACCACTAACATAAGCTGAAGCTGTGGGAGCCTCACGGACTGGGATCGACATTGGAGCTGGTTTACCAATGCGAGCCTCTGTCGCCAGGCAGCAAGATGTCACTGGTCCACACTCCGGTTAGGAGAAATTACCTTTGGTTCTTCACAGAGGAAGACAGCTGTCGCATGAGAACTATTTTGACTCTGGTGAAGTTTTGTTGTCTGATTTGCATCCTCGGGTTCTGTGGAGGCGCTACGGGAATGCGGGAAGGGGGAGATTGATACGGTGTGATTCTGGAAATACCATCTGTATGGAGATAAAGTTGGCATAGTGTAAAAATAACCATTTAAAACCGTACAGTTTGGAGGCCAGGGATATAGCTCAGTGACGGAGTGCTTGCCTAGCACATGTAAAGTGCTGAGTTCAATCCTCTGTACCCCCCACCCAAGTGTAAAGTTCAGAGGCATGTAGTACATGCTCAGTGGTGTGCAGCCATCGCTCCACCCAGCTCCAAATATTTTTGTCACTCCAAAAGAAATACCATCCCATTAAGCAGTGTCTACCCATTCCTTTCGTCCGCATCCTCTGCCAGCAGTCTGATATGCATTTCCTGTTTTGAATATTTTTCATGTAAATAATATATAACAGGCAGTCTTCTATAATTGGTCTCTCTCATTTAGCACATTGTTGGAGGTTCACCCACGACACATAGCACAAGTTTGCACTTCATTCCTCTCTATAGCTGAGCACCACCTGTTACACAGATATAAAACATTTTAGTATCCACTGGTCAGCCGTTAGGGTGGAAGCCATCTCTTTTTCAACAAGATGGGTGTTGATCTGTTTCATAGTTTGACTCTTCCTTAGTGTTTGAGAGGAAATGGTCTTTTCGGCTTCAAGAAGTTGTTCGAACCTCTGCCTTAATACAACCCTGCGTCTTATTGGGAAAAGCACAGGTCTTAGAAATCGTCATGCCAGTCATCTCTCTGATAAAGAATCTGCCTTTGTAAGCTCCCTGACAGAGCAGCAGCAAGTCCTTTGTCTCTAATCATTGTGCTTTGAGCTTGGCCAAATTACTTTGTTCTCTGATCTTGTCTATAAAATGGGAATCAAGGGACCTCCTTGGATGGATCGTTCATGCTACAAAATTATACATGAGGACGAGAACCTTATGAAATCTGAGCATCAGACAAATGCTGCTTGTTAGGGTCTCCAAATGATCAATTAGACTTTATTTTAAGATTATGCTGACGGTGACAGGTAACTCACTAGCTTCGGAGGTGCCTACTGGAGTTGTGAATGTAGGTGGTTAGCTGGGGGAAAGTAGGTAATTCGCCCCAAGTCACAAAGAGGAGAGAAAAAACATGAAAAATCAACAGAAAATGTCCTTTCTTCTCAAGGTATTTGGGTAATCTAAGTCTTTCTTATTGAAAAAACTTTTATCAGAAACAGAAGTGAGTACATTTTATCCTCCAGTTATTTTTCTTTTTCTCATTCAAGGTGGTCTGGAAATTCTCCAGTTATTTTTATGATGATTGAT